ACACACACACACACACACACACACACACACACACACACACACACTACGCCTGGCTCGGAGGGCCCATGTTCAGAGATGATGCTTGAAGTCTCATCATCCCACGTCTCTCGGCCCTGGGGCTGCGTCCCGGTCGCTCTCCCTACAGGAGGGCGACGGCCTCTGGGCTTTCTTTTCAATCCCGGGATGGGACGAGTTGGGGATGTGGAGGGTGCGGCGCCCCCAGACGGTCCTTTCGGAGAATCCGGAGTCCCGGGACCTCTTTCACCACCCCCACTCGAACCCCACCCTTGGCAGTGGGTTGGGTCCAGACTAAGGTTGCCCCTTGCGACCACACCTGTGCGGGTCCTGGCGGAGGGAGGCGGATCCCGGGGCTCAGCCGGACACCCCCATCCACGGGCCGCGGCGAACGGCCGGAGCGCAGCGCAGCGGCAGCGGCAGCAGAGAGCCAGCCAGCCAGCGAGCGCTCCCCCCGCAGCTCCGGCGGCGCCCGGCTCCGCTCCCCTCCTCCACCCCGCCCCCTCCCCGTGCTCGCGCCCGGGCTCCGGGGACGCGCCCGCGCTCGGGCACCGGATCAACTGGCACGCGCAGGGCCTGGACGTCATCCTTTGGTGAACATTCATAGCCCTCCTTGGAGCACGTGGGCCTGCTTCTATAAATATTTATGAATTGCTTTTTCTCTCCTCTTTAACATTGGCCCTTCTGCTTCCCTCATGAATATTCAAGAGCTCCAAGATCCGCGCGTGTCATAATTACCAATATGGATACCTCACACGGCTGGTCATCGTAGATTCTCCATAAAAATGGAGGCGGATGGAGTGAAAGAGTGGGAGGAGGCCAACAGACACACTTAAAGACTCTCTGGCATTTTCTGGACTCCCCTTTCTGCTTTACTAGAGGCTGAAATGGGAAGTCGAGGGATGCCTCCTACCCCAAACCGGGTTCAGACCGCCAGTCAATGGTGAACAGGCCAGCCGGAAAGATTTTGTCACTCAAAGATGCAGGGTGAGAGCTGGATGTGGGCTGGAAAAATCTGAGTGAGAGAGTTTCAGGTTCAGGAGGACTTGGGATAATAGAGGAAGGCGCTTGGGGCCCCTGTGAAAATGTACTCTTCATGCGTTGATCTTGTCTACTGCGCATAAGCCTGTGCTGTCATTGTCATGCTGTCATTGTAAAGAAGTCTGATAATTGATAAACACAGACCACTAAGAGTGCAAGAAAGGAAAAGATAAGAAAAGCATGTCTGCTTGGAGAACCCCAAGTATTTTTGTCTGATATCAAAGGCTGAACTGAGGACTTCATCTGAAAGGGGGAAAGAGCCTTTCCTTTGCTCATTTCTTTCCACAAACATTTCAATCTCAGGGAGGATGGGAAGCAGGGAAATAGCATCCCCATGAGAGGAAGAGTTAGCATTTAGTC